CTATATTGCTTATGCTGTACATTACATCCCTGTGTTAACCATTTTAAGTGTACAATTCAGTGGCGTTAAATACACATATTGTTGTGCAACCACTAATCATCTTCAGAAATTTTTGATTGTCTCAGACTGAAACTTTGTTTTCATTAAATACTCACTTCCTATTCCCTCTTCCCACCACCCCTCGTAACCAATATTCTACCTTCTTTATGATTTTACTATTGTAGTTACCTCATATAAGTGGAATCATATAATATTTGTCATTTTGTGGTTGGCTTATTTCATTTAGCATAATATCTTCAAGGTTTTTCCATGTTGTGGCATATTAAGAGAATTTTATTTCTTTTTAAGGCTAAATAATATCCCACATTTTGTTTACCTATTAATCTGTTAGTAAATACTTCTGTTGTTTCCACCTTTTAGCTATTGTGAATAACATTACTATGAACATGGGTGTACAAATATCTGTTCGAGTCTCTGCTTTCAGTTCTTTTGATATCCAGAAGTGGAATTGCTGGACCATATGGTAACTCTATGTTTAGATGTGATGATTACTTTAATACTGTTTACTGGATCTCTTATATTTAGTTCTGAGTTTGAAAAGTCATCACTCTGCTAAATTCTCTCAGTACCTCTAGACCTGTACACTTTATAATTTTATATCCTCTTATAAGCACTAAAAATCCTCTTTTGGAATAAAGTAAGGTAGGAAGTAATCAATAAAACCTATCAACTTCACTCTTTAAATGGTCAGTAATAGATTATAAGTTACTACCTGGCTCAAATAAATACACTTACAGCAATTTGATATTTTGCATAATTTTATCTTGTGACTATTGTGAAATTTAATAACATATACATTTATTTTTATTTATAAACTAATGATTTTATAATTTACTACTTTTCTTTTGTGCTCCACTTCAATGCCAGTTTTGTCTTTAACAGATTTGACCTTATTGGTTTTATGTACACATTTTCATGCTTGCCTTACGAAAGTCCAACTACTTTCACATGCTTTTTCAAGGCTCTTCATTATTGGGTCCCAGACATCTTTTCAAGCTTTTATTCCCCCAAATTCTTAGGCTTATGACCACTGTTGACTCTGGATTACTTACATGCTACAAGCACACAATTTCTAAAGTACACATTTTGTGCCAACATGCACTTTCACTCCCCTTCTCTCTTAGAATGTTCCTGCACCTCCTTCTCTCCAATACCTTAAATTACATCTCCTCAGTAAAGACTTTCCTTCCCATCCAAGATTAATCATGCTCTCTATTTACATAGCACTTTGTTAGTAACTTCAAGGGCACTAATTCCATTTTTATTTCGGTGAGCAGTTATTTACAATGTGCTTTGTCCTTTGCTCTGTTGTAATCTTCTGTAAAGCAAGGATCACATTTCCAGTTTTTCTACAGCCTAGTATCATAAGTTTTCTATGAAAGTTGTTTAATAAAATCCATGCTGAACGAAAAACTTTTCTTGTATGAATTATGGAAAAAGCCTTGTTTGGATTGAAAGAAGTCTAAAAGTTGGTGTAGTCTGTTTATCTTGAATATTACCTATCTTGAATTCACTAAGGTAAAAAATAACACTCAAATTTGCAAGATTATTTTCTTATAAGGTAGATTAGAACTAAATATTGTTGGAAAAACTTAAATCATATCATTCCAAATTGAACTCAATATTGAATTCTTTTACTTCTAGATAGGTAGTAGAGGAGTTCTGGTAATTGAAAAATAGGATATGTTTCCAGACCAGATTGGAGTGTGGGTAGGAGCTTGGAAGAGGGAAGCTGAAAAGAGAATGAGGATAATGGAAGAGAAGCAGGGGACTGAATGCACCAAAATAATTGGACAAAGTATGAACTAAAATATGAGTAAAGAGCCATCAGAAGAAGTGTAGAGAAACCAAAAGAAAGAAATCCTGTTTATTAGAATTAGATATTGGAATAGGCAATTTAGATTTTGAGTTGTTGTCTGGGAATATTTAAGTCTTAATTTATACAAGTTAGCTTCACATTTAAAAGTAACAAATCTCTATGGAGATAAATGGATCATTATTGGCATCTAATAGGTAAACACTGAATACTGAAGAATTATAAGAAAAAATATCTTTTTTTTTTATTTCACGTGCCAAGGAAACAAGATGGAATTTTCATTCTGCACACAAAGAATGAACTCAGAGCAATATAGAAATCTTCCACCAGTGTAGAATCATTATAAATAGTTTTTGGATGATAACTTGGCAGTATTTCTCCAAAATTTAATGACCTTAGCCTCTGGCTTACCATTTCTATATTTAGTAATTTATTTTATAAAATATTTGCATAAGTTGTATAAAAGCACATTTATTGTGTTTCCATTTGGTCGTCTAATAGGCACCACAAATTAAAATGTCAAAATCATGCTCCCAATTTTTTCCCTTCTGATTCTCAAGTACTGTCCTTTCAAAACCTACTTAGTTTTTGTCTTTCTCCAATTCAGTAAATGGCAACTTCATTATCCAGGTTGCTTGGGACAAAAACGTAGGACTCATCCTTGACTTCTCTCCATTACCCCATTATCAATCCATCAGCAAGTGCTGTTTGTTCAGTTTTAAAAAGATATACTTTATGCAAATGTTTATCATTTCTTCTGTAACCACTCTACTGGGTCACTGTCATCTTTCTTCTATACTATTAAAATAGTCTTTAATTGGTCTGTTTTCTCATTCGCCACTCTACTGTAATTCCCTACAAAAAGAGAAGTGTCTTTTTAAAACATAGATTGGGTCAGTTCTCAACTCAAATTCCTCAGATGGCTTCCTCTCACACTCAAAGAAAAACAAAAACTTCTTATGGTGGCCTGTGTGGCCTACAGTAATCGTAATTACTGTACGGGCCCTGACTGCTTCTCCTAGTGTATCATCTAGAATCCTGCCCACTAGCTCCTCCATTCTGTCTCGTTTCAGTGGCTTTCATACAGAAGTTTGTTTCTTCATCAGCAAATTTGCACTTTCCTTAGATATTTGCATGGGCTGTGCCTTCACACACATTTCTACCCCCAAATATTGCTTTCGCAGAGAATTCTTTCCTGACCTTAGTATTTTAAATATTCTCTTATAATATTTATAGTCTGTTTCTTGCTTCTCCCATCTCCTAGAATGTAAGCTCCAATGAAGCAAGGAGTTCACCTATTCACAGATGTTTCCCCTGGACCTATAACTGATGTCGACACTCAATAAGTGTTTGTTAAGTAAGTAAACAAACAAACTGAGAAAAACTGGAAACATCCTAAATATTGATGCCAAGGGAGTGATTAAATATAGTACCATTTAGTACTGTGTACCCTATCCATGAAAAAGGATGATGTTAAACTCTGTATATTGAAATAAATGCTATCTATGATACATTGTAAAAAAAAAAGCAAGTTACAGAATGTAATGTATGTTATAAACCTATTTATGTAACACAATTAAAATGTAATGTATTTGTCATAAATATGTATTTTCATTTGAAAAAGATCAAGAGATTGTACATTAACAGCCTGACCTCTGGGAAATGAAATTGTGTCAAAGGGTAGGCTTATATTTTTACTTTACATATTTCTCTTTTGAAGGTTTGTAATTATACTTTTAAAATAACACATTTTAAAGCTTCACTCAGAAAGTTCTTGGTTTTAAGGCAAGGAATTAAAAGAATATCATGAATGAAAATTATCGCCAAAATAACAAAGAAAGTGTCAAAACAATAGTGTTTTGCTCAGTGTCACACATAAAAAGGACTCATTAAGTTTCAGTTGATAAATCAACACTCCTACTGTCAAAGAAGCCAGCGTTGAGGGAAACCCATGTTCCCCTTAATATCTGCAAGATCTAGCTGTTACCTTCCAGACCCTTGCTTCCTGCAGGAGACTCAGAGAGTCTCAGAGATTAGAAAGCAAAACACTTTCTTTTATAACTGCAAGAGGTTATTTTTTAAAAGAACAACAACATATTTATCACTTGTTTTTAAGAAACTTTTTATTAATGATTTATTTTTAATAAAAGTTGGAAGATAGTAAAAACAGTCTATAATATATGTGAAAAACACAGAAAACGAAGTTTGCCTTGATGTAGTGGTAGTCAGATTTTTCTTTCTTTCATTTCTCAGACCCATTGTCCAGTATCAGGCAGTCAGCCTAGTTCTTTTTCCTGTGTTAATTTTCATTTCCAAAGCTCAAAAATGTCTAAATGTCTCTGGTATCAATGGTACATGAAAGCATAAACTACAAAGAAAGAGGTTATCATGGGGTTAAAATTTCAGATATAAAGATTCAAAAGAGTCATCTATTGTAATGTTATAGTATTTTAAGAGATTATGAAAAGAAAGAAAGAAAGAGATTAGGAAAAGAGCAGACAGCATGGAAGGCCCACAGTTGGTAGATATAAGAGCTCTCCAAGGGACAGAATTCAGAGAGAAAGTCCAGAATACTGTTGCACTCTTTGAGTCTGATGAAAATGGGAGAGGCTAGAGAAAGCTTCCAAACATTGAATATCATAGAAGTTAAGTGTGTCTTTTGGAACGCAGCTGTCTGCTTAAACTTGAACTCTAATCACTAGTTCATGCTGTGTACTCGTTGACATTTTGTGGCCTCACTACTGCGGACAGTCTTAAACATTCCCTGTGTAAATAAATTCTCTTTATATGTACTCTAAGGGAGGTAGCTTTCTCCACCTTTAAACAGAGAAAGAAGAAATGAAATATCTTAAAGGAAAATTACCTTTTAAGTATGTTTATGTAAAAATAGAAGTTTTTAAGAGGCATGGAATATAAAAAGGATCTGAGTATTAAAACTACATTAATATTCTTGAGAAGTAGAAAGACAGGTAATTAGTCTTGTTCATTTGACTGCTGCTAATGCCAAACCAATGTTTTTAATATTGACAGCATTGAAAAATGTGAAATAAAGCTGTGAAACATTGACTCTAAATTTAGATCCCCATCATTAAGGTGCATACAGCTCTGACTGGAGCTCATTAATTCATTTCATTTTGGTTTTGTGGCCAACTGTTGCTTCAAACTGAGTATTTTGTACATGATTTATAGCTGCCAAGGCACGTTCAGGAAGAAATCTGTATAAAAAAATGAAAAAATTTTAATTTAAAAGCTTTGACACCACAGTCCTTTTTCGTTATTAGTTAAAATAACCCAAGAATTATCTGGTTTGCACTTAATTTTCCACTGTTCTTCCTGTCTTCTTTCATATCTACTTCTCCCTCTCTTTTTGTGTTTTTTAATACTCATAGTTCAAACATTATGCACATATAAAGAAAGCACTGATATATACCAGTATTCTCACCTTCTCATTTTATATTAGTAAAATCTTATATGAGTAAGGATCTTAATTGAAGGTCTGGACTTATTTCTGAAACTGTCAATGAATCTTGATGCTAAGAGTTCATAGAGACATCACTAGAATCCATTCCATCCATCCCTCTACCTCTCCTTAAATATTTACTGAATCTCTATTATGCACTCTATAATAAGGTAGACTAAAATACTTTAAAAACAACTACTATGTTTGAGGAGCTTATTGTTTAGCCTAGAGGCTAAGATGGCATTCTGACACATAATTGAAAAATATTAGGCATCTCTAAATAAGGGCTATAAATGTAGGGAGGATTAATGTGGGTTGGAATAGTAAAGGAAAGCTTCAAAGGACAACTGTGTATTCAAGGACGGGTAAGATTTGAGTAGGCAGATGAAAGAAAGGCAGGTGAAAGAAAGGCAGACAACAAATTCTGTAAAGAAGGTCATACTGAAAAACAGTTTGGTATTGTTGACTAATGCAAGTTGTATTTCCTTGTCTTGGGGTGGAGAGTGAGTAGAGTGGAAGATGGAAGCATCAGCAAAGGGTCAGGGAAGATCTGGCTGGGAGAAAGACAAATAAAAGAATAGAATTTTTACAGGTTTTTTAACTACACTCACAAAGAAACCTTCGTGCTAGTAATTGTATCTGCTCACGAATTGTCTATTTCTGCAAAAGGAATTAAATGCAAAGATTAATAATAAATCTCCATTGTTGAGTAACAAACCACCATGACAGCTTCACAATAATACCAAACATTTTAAGCCTCCGGTTTATTGTACAGGGACACCCATTCTGTGGTAGAATAACTATATTGTCTTGGTCATATGCAAGTCTGCTATGATTTTAGATTTTTTTCTACATTAACATGACCTGTTTTGAGCCACAAGAGAGTAGGAATCCCATTAAATTCCTTTGCTACAGAGTTCAGCACCAAGACACTAATTTAGTCAACTCTTGAGATGATGTTGCTCTGAGGTCGAGGTTGTATTAACTTACATTAGTCTATTTAAGCTAAAATGGAATATTGATATGGATTAACAATGCAGTTTGTCAACATTCTTAAATTGTTCTGTTCCAAGGTTTAGCATAGTTTACATTGATTTGTTTCAGAAAGGCCCAAGGGCTATGAAGATAGAATAGCTATTGTCACATTGATATAATCTCAATTTATTATAAGCTCTCCTTTAGAAGGCTGAGTGATTATCTCTTCTAGATAAATAATCATATTTCTTCTTACCATTCTATATAAGTTCTGCTTCCTAAGCCTTTAATATCTGACTCTGTACCTTTTCAATGGTAGGGGCTTTACTTGTATTATGTTATTTTATTCTTATGGCACACTTAGAAAGGTGGTATTATCACCATCCTCATTTTAAATTATATATATATATTTATACATAATATATATAATATGAGAATTATATAGATGTGAGAAATTTGAAGCCATAGAGGTTAAGTTACTCGTCCATGGTCAAAAACTAGTAAGTGGTAGAGTGGTTTTTGATCCTAAGTGGAGCTTTTATTCTTAGTCACTTAACTATATTGTTCCTCTTTTAAAACTGTCTTCCCTTCAATTAGAACAGCCTTCAGCAAAGATGAGATGGAGATCATTGAGGTGTTAGAGAATATTATTTAAGTACTGAAAGACAAAAACTATCAATCTAGAATTTCATATTCATTGAAAATGTTTTTCAAAAACTAAGGAAAAATAAAGAATTTGTTAAAGATATAAAAGGTAGAAGAATTCATAACTAGCAGACTTCCTCCCAAAATGTTAAAAGATGTCCATTAGGCAGAAGAGAAATAATACCAGATGGAGATCTAGATCTACACAAATTAATAAAGAGCGTCAGAAATGTTAACTACACGGGTAAATATTTAAGAATTTTCCTTGTTATTTGAATCTCTTTAAAAGGATATCTGGCTGTTTAAACAAGAATAATAACTACGTAGTGTGTATTTTATAACATAAAAATAAAATGTATGACAACAATAGTGTAAAGCTTGAGAGGGAAGAAATAGAAGTATACATTGTAAAGTTCTTGGACCATAGGTGAAATGGCATGATATCATTTAAAGGTAAAATGTGATAATTTAAAGGTGCATGCTATGAACCCTAAAGTAATCACTAAAACAAGAAAAACAGAATTATAGCTAATAAGCCAATAAAGGAAATAAAATGGAAATATAAAAAATTTAATTAGGCAAAAATATCCTAAATACAATTAACCCAAAAGAAGGCAGAAGAAGAGAAAAAAGGAAACACAAATAAATGGAACAAATAAAAAAATAGTAAGCTTTAAATTTAGCTTTAAATCTTACTATATAATCACATAAATACAAACGGTCTAAATACCCTCAATTAAAAGGCAGAGATTGTCAAATCGGATTAAAAAAAAGACCCAACTATATATTGCCTACAAGAAACACATTTCAAATATAAGAAAATAAATAGGTTAAGAGAAAAAGAATAGAACAAGATACACTAAGATAACATTAATTTAAAAAAGCCTGAGTGGCTATATTAATATTAGACAAAGTAGATTTCAAAGCAAAGTATGTTACCAGGGATAAACGAGGTCATTTCATCTAGAGGACATAATAATCCCAATGCTTATGCACATAATAACAGGGTTTCAAAATATATGAAGCAAAATAAACAGAAGTACAAAGAAAAATAGACAAATTCAAAATTATAGTTCGAGATTTCAAGATTCCTCTCAATAATTGATAAAAAGAATAGACAGAAAATCAGTAAAGATACAGAAAACCTGAACAACACTATCAACCAATTTAACCTAAACTAATATTTATACAACACTCAACAACAGAGAATACTCTTTTTTTTTAGGCGCACATAGAATGCTTACCAAGATATATCATGTTCTGAGCTTAAACATGTCTCAATAAATTTCAAATATTCAAGTCATACGAAGGAATTAAATTAGAAATCAGTAGCAGAAAAACTTCTATAAAATCTCTAAATATTTAGAAGCTAAAAAATGCACTTCTAAATAACCCATGATAGGAAAGGGAAATTAGAAAGTATTTTGAACAAAATGTAAATGAAAACATATGTCAAAATATGAGGGATAGAATTAAAGCAGTACAGGGGAACATTTATAGCATATAGCATATGGCTATTTGAAAAAAATCAATGAACTCAATGTCCATGTTAATAAACTATAAAAAGAAAAAAATTAAATGGAAGGTAACCAGAATAAAAGCAATAATAAAGATCAGAACCCAAGTTAATGAACTAGAACACAAAAAAATAGAGAAAAAAATTAATTAAACTAAATGCTAGTTTTTTTAAAACAGATCAATATATTGATAAACCTCTAGCTAGACTGATAAGAATAAAATAAGAGAGAAAACACAAATTACCAACATCAGGAATGAAAGATTCTAAAAATATTAAAAATACAGGAAGAAAACATTTTGAACAAGTTTATGCCAATAAGTTCAACAACTTAGATAAAATAGACAAATTACCAAAATAAATTAGTAGCCTGAATAGCTCTATAGCTGTTAAAGAAATTAAATTTATAGTTACAAACTTTCCCATAAAGAAAACAGCAGTACCAGATAGCCTCACTGATGAATTTCACCAAATTTTTTTAAAGAAGAAATAAAACCAATCTCACACAAGCTATTCTGGAAGAGAGAAGAGGGAATACTTTCTAACTCATTCTGAGTCAGTATTATCCTGATAGAAAATCAGACAAAGATATCACAGTATTACAATGCAGGGTTGGTTTAGTCTTTAAAATCAATCAGTGTAATTCACCATTTAACCAAATTAAATGGAAAGACCATAAGACCAATATATTCAGTAAAAACATTTGACAAAAATCCTCAACCTGATAGAGAGCATCTATGAAAAAAATGTACAGCTAGCATTATACTTAATTATAAAATAATTGAATATATTCCTCTTAAGATAAGGAAGAACACTTGGATGTGTGATTTCACCAATTCTATCTGACATTACATAGGAGATTCTTTCTAACCAGTGTAATAAGGCATGAAGAAAAAATAAACCATAAAGATTGGAAAGGAAGAAGTAAACGTGTTTTTATTTGCAGAAAATATGATCATCTATGTAAAAAAAAAAAAACCCTATTAGAATCTACAAAAAAAGCTACTAGAAGTGAGTTTAGCAAGATTGCTAAATACAAGATCAAAATGCAAATCAAATAAATACTAGCAACAAAAATGAAAATAAAAAGTTTTTTTAAAATGCCATTTGCAATAGCATCAAAAACATAAACTACTTTGGGATAAACCTAACAAAAGATGTGTAAGACTTATACAGTAAAACTACAAAATATTGTGTAGAGATATTGAAGAAAATGAAAAAAAAAAGACATATTATGTTCTTTGTGTTCTTGGATGGGAAGGCCCAATATTGTTAATATGTCAATTCTCCCCCCAATTGATCTATGTATTCAATGCAATCTCAATCAAAACCCCAATGGGCTTTTTTAAAAATAGACTTTTTATTTGCAACTACTTCCCTATTTTGTATTCTCTTTAAACTGTCTTTTCTTTAGTTATAATAGTCTCTGGGAAAGATTGGGAGCAGATGGTAGCTGTGGTAGAGAAAAATGAATCACTTTCTTTTTACAGATTATGTAAGTCCATAACAGAGGAAACTTAACTGCTCTCCCCAGGCATGGAGTCTTTCACAACTGAAATACTCCTTATAGTGTTAGCTCTTTGGTATTTTAGTATTTTAGGTGTTTTTGTACTTATTTCTCTAGTATTAGAGAGGTACTGATATACGATGGGACAAAAATCATTTTCTTATTGATGAGTATTCCATTTATCAAGGTTCTTGCAACTTCTTCTGGCTCCAATAGAGGCCATAGTCTGTAATTAAAAAGAAAAAAAGTTTTGTTGTTGTTTATGAATTAACTAAGATAGGAAAATTAACTTATCTTTTCACCAAATCAGGATTTTAAATGTTTCCATATTAACTGCACAAATGACACCTGCCATCCTCACCACCCCCAATGCCATGTTGATGTTTTGTTATCACAGTCTTAACACTTTCACATCCAGTAGGTGTGTTTCATGCTGACTCAGTTAAAATATCAAAAGTGGTGGAATGAAATTATATGGTAGAAGAGGAGACGGGCAATGAAGAGTAGTGGGCGAGATTAATCATGGGATGGAAAGGAAACGTCTGACATCTTTCCTCAGAGCTTGTTGGATACAAGGAGGGAATTTTCTAGCTAAGTATACTTTTTTTCTTGTGGTGGGATCCCATAAAGCTGGATTGTTTTGAGGGCATTTAATACTTGGGATTCACCTCCGACTTGCTTAGGCTGCAGTTTAATGAGAGTTGAGATGTACACAGGGAGTATTACATTACAACTGGAGATGTGACCTTGCTTATACTGAAGACTGTGTACATGGATTCTTGAGAAGTATTCATAAGCACAGGCCCAGTGTGGTGAGTGCAAGATGACAGGAAATTAAAAAATAAAGGGATTGAATGTATCGCACCGAAGTTCAGATGTCTAGGCCTGGACCGATTGGCCAGTGAATAAAAATGTGTAAAGGAGCTAAGAAAGCAGTGAATATTATAACTTTCTTCCCTGAGATATTCTGAGATTCATTATAGATTATTATGTGATTGAAGTTTCCATGGCATTGAGCGGAGTAAGTCAGCAGAGAGTAACACAAATCAATACTTTTCTAAATTATTGGGTTCTGCCTCCTCCCTGCCAGGTTTCTTTTGCTTAGTTCCATTGACCCGGTCTCTGAGCCAAGCCTGACATTAGTATATGAACATTTTAACCTTTGCCAAGGAAATCCAAATTTCCTTTTAAGAAAAGCAAAGCCAGTAGTTCCAACTGTACCACAGTATTTACTTATATCTTGTGTACTTGTTCAGTACTCTGCTCTAACATTGTCAATGACTTTACCGCCAGGAAATGAACACAGCTCCAGAGACAACACATCTCATTCAAAATTTCAGAGTCAGTAGCTTCAACTGAGGCTGAGCTTAAAAGGGAATTTATTAGCTCTTTTGAATAAATATATTTAGGACTAATTCCCTTCCAATAAGTAATTGGCTTCAGATTTGTGAGCTTAGTATATTTTGTTAACCTGCAGCAGAATATATACTAGAATTTGAGGCAAATTTGTGAAGCAGGTGGCTTAATTTTAGAGCCCTTGTCCTCACCTCTCTGCTTTTCCCCTCTCCTCTCAGGACTAATTTCTCTTCTCTTATGTATTCAAATCCTCCCTTACCAGACATAAAGTACTTGCAGACTACGGGGTTAGGGACTCAATTTAGCTGCTCCTACGAACATTTGCATTGTTAAGGAGAACGGGGCAGTAACAGTGACCAAATGCATGCGGTTATATTTAATATATCAATGATTCCAAACCTATTTCCAGACTCACCTGGTATGCTAGTAAACAAAACAAAAACAAAACAAAACAAAACAGAACAACGAAACATCTTATTCTTGGAGTTTATCCCTGCCTACTGAATTAGAATCTCTCAGGAAGAGCCTAAGAACATTGTTGTTTTAATGAAGTTCTTAGGATCAGGCAAGTTTGGAAAATGTTACAGTATTTTATGCTACCCTTTTAGCTGGTGCTGTAATTGATGGGATTCGTCCTTCTATTTGAGGAGGATGAATCACTAATGGGAGAGGAGGATGTTAGGTAACATTCATTTTGGGAGTGTGGTTTCCAGGAGAGGACACTTGCATGCCTTTCACCTGAACACAAATACCCAATTGCTTAATTCATTGGCAGCTGATCATTCCTGCCAAGTCCCTACTGTGTTTTTTAACCTTTGTTCATCTAATTTCAAAGTAAAAACTTAAAGGCAATACAATAACATTAATAAGAAAAAATATTTTTCTTTTTTTCTTTTTCGTTTTCTCAGTTAGCCCACCCCAAAATTTCTTATATGGTTTCCATATCATTTTCCCATGCTATAGTCCCATTTTAACTTCATTTTGACCTCACCTTGTGCTTGGGTTTTTGGTGAATCCAGTATTCACAAAAGCTGGGCAGAGACATGAGGTTTTAATACCAGTTTTTCCCAGGGCTTCAAGTTCTAACGTCAGAGCTCTGTGGAAGCCAACGCAGCAAATTTGCTGGAACTGTAAGAGAATTATCCACCATCATTGCTACGGTAAGTGAAACACTTCTTAGCCTTCTGTGAGAAGGCAGTGTTGATTTGGTTTGAGCACAAGTAGAAACCAAACCCCCAAATCATCCACTGGGTCTTTCATTTTCATTTACATTTTCTTATATGATCTCACAGAATTCTGAATGCATCAATTTCTTAATCAGCAGTGATAACAATAGGACAAATCCTAATAAGTTTTATTGATTTGCTTACTGCTCACTTTTCCATCCTTCATGTAAGATTTTCTATTCAATCTTCAAACTGTTTTCTAATCGGTTTTTATTACTGTTTTTATTTTGAGAAATGTGAATCAGGAAAAACATATTTAGAAAAACTATATAACTAATATTTGTATAGACAAAGTTCTGTGGAATTCTGCACAGTTCTTTCTCTTGAAACTGAGTTGATAGTTTCTCTCTTGACACTTTGGCTTCTTAATTTTATTGTGATGATCTGGAGTCAAAAGACTTCAGGTGGTATGGGTATGTTTGCAACCTTTCAGCACAGTTTTATCTTCTTCGATTTTCTGATATTTAAAATGCAGATAAAATATAAGGCTGACTTGAGGATTAAATCAAATAGCATATGTATAATAACTTTATGATCTATAAAGATCTATATAAATGTTAATATTTTTTGACCCAGGTGACAATAAACAATAAAGTTAAAGGCCGCTTTCTTAAGGGAGAAGGAAAAAGGGAATATTATTATTACATTGGGTTTCCACATTTGTAAACACTAAAACAATAGCAAAAATTTAATCTGTGAAATTCTTATTTGTGTTTTAAGATGGTAGAAGCACCCTGAAACAACTATATGTGTGTGCCATGGCACTGTAACCTATGTTGAAATTTAACTATATCCATGACTGCATTTAGTTTTGGAAATAATCTGATCTATGACTAAATTTAAACTTGAATTTATATGAATGTATTAGTAAATAATAGATCAACTAACTATCTATCCACACGGTTATACACATGTGTTGGCAGTTACAAAAAGAACTGGCCAAATGTTAACAAGTTAAATTTTCTGTGAGGTTGATATAAAGCAGAAGTAAGAAAATAAGATGCCATTAGAGGAGTTTACAAGGAAAAAGTAGTTTTGCAAATAATGTATCCTTAGGGTCCTCCACCTCTTTCTCTCTACGTCCTTGGTAGAGCGTGGAGTATGCTATCTAGATCTCTTATATCAGGTAGAGCCTTAATCAATCAATCAATCAATCAATCAATCAATTTCTCTCTCTCTCTCTCTCTCACGCACACACACACACACACACACACACACACACACACAATCTTTTCCAAGCACACTGGAAAATGTTTTGATCTCAGGGTCACTCTTGTTAGCTTATCTTGAGCGTCCAGGCCATAGATTTATGTTCATTAGGACTCCTGTACATTTGGCTTCTTAGTCTGTAGATTCCCTGTTTCCTTTATCAACATCTACTCATTCCAGGATATAATAGAAACATGTTCGGCATCACTGTTTTCTTTCATAAGTCTACAGAGGAGATTTCAAAAATCTTAAAATATTTTAAATAATTAAAGCCAGTTTCATTGTTTTAGAAGTCATTTTTTTAAAAAAGTTTATTTTAAATTACTTGATAATCTCTTTAATTCCTAATTACCCTGCTTTGAGGATTGGAATTTGAGGTCTAATAAACTCTTAAAAATATAAAAATATATAACACTGCTGGAAAATACTACTTACCAATATGGAATAGCATAAGTAAACCCCATATGGCCGGCCACTGAAGCCACTGTGACAATGTGGCCATGATTTGTCTTCATCATTGATGGAAGAAGTGCTTTTGTGATCTTAAGGGTCATTGCAGAAAGAAGAGAAACAATACATAGCTGTTAAGTTCTCAAATCAAGTAGTTTTATTTTTAAGACAAAATGGCATTTGAGACAATTTTTTCAATGAAATATGTGCCAAGTTTCATATTACTTCTATACAATGATAGAAATGAAAAAGATTAAAATATATTGGTCTGAGCTGGCATTGAGTACTGTGCCCTGCATATCACATGCTAATAATTCATCTTAATATTTCCCCTTCTTCCCCTCAAAGGGAATCAAATATCTCCTTTATGGATATGTCATCTAAAAATATTACTAAGGAAAAAATTCAGAGTTTTCAGAACTGAAAAAAAAAATTCCTCATGGTAATTTGGTATCATGTAATTTTGGGGGATTTGAGGCTTTACCATTCTAATGAGAAGAGCTGAAATCCTGTGATTAGACAAGACAGTTGTGTAGAACAAGCTAAGAGTTTTGTACTGACCCACAATCATTGTGCAATATGATTAGATTTAGTATCTAAATGTGTATTACACGTTGATGTTATAGGAAACAGTCTTAATCTCCAAGAAGCTTTACTATTTTATGAGAAATATCAATAATATTTTATGAGAATTTTATAAATCCACCCTATGGACCCTATGAAAATTCAAAGAGACAGAACTGCCAAACCAAGCCATCCCCAATATTCCCAACTTTCAGAAACTGTGAGATGAAAATGAACGCTTATTGTGTTGCTTTAAGTCACTAAGTATTGGTATAATTTGTTATGCCACTATAGATTACTAATTTATGAAGTCTCCATGTAGTTTGGTAGGCATAATAATTAGCTCTCATTAGCATGTATGAGGGGCTAGGAAAGATGGTGGGATACATCTCTCTTTTTCTTCTCTCTTTCAGGATCCAGTTTTGTCCTAGGTTCTACACTAATATTGAGGCACTAGTAGATTAATTTACATAAATGATATCTACATAGGAATACTTCAGTCTCCCATAAAACTAGCCAATTATAATAGGTCTTTCTAAGTTCCAGTATGGATCTAGAGCTGGTCTCAAAGTCCCACCCAAAAGAATCCTCAATCCCTGTATATATCTGAGCTGTGATTTCTATTATCCTTATTCAGTTCTAAAATTCCATGACATGAATGTATGTATACACACACATACATTCACAAATGAATGTACACTACATGTATTTCCTCTAAAGCACTAAAACAATATACACTGACAATCCTTAGCAAATTCCAATAAATATTTTTTTGGGCCAGGCTTTGTGTTAGATACTGGTGGATAAGACAGACTAACCTATATTTTGGTGAGTTTTTTTCCCTGGAACTCTGTGCCCTTCTGTCAGAGACTCTTCCACTCAAACTAATTTGATAAATCTTCATTTAAGGTAAAGATCTAATCAGTCTCCACCCAGAATAATATGAACTCAATTATGAATGTCATGTACCTTAAGAGGAGGTATTAAACATGAATAGATAAGAAATGTTTCTGGCTCATACTCACCCAAAAATGGCCTAGGATGTTGACCTTAAATGTTTTGGTAATCTCTTCATCCTTGGTACTAAGAAGATCAGCTGGATATATTACCCCAGCATTATTCACCACAATGGTTACATTACCCACCTCTTTCTTCACCTTTTGAAGTGGAAAGAACACATTCATTGGGTGTGTTATAGAAACTCAAAGTTTGGGGGCTGATATCATCCAAAAATTAGATTCTTTATTCTATTTGATGACATTTCTCAGAGTTTAGGCAGGAAAGAGCTTTAGCCCAAATAGTAGATGTAAAGGAAACACTGTCATAAAGCTAGTAAACTGTTTTTAATTTTTTTAACATCTAAATTTCAGTACCCAGAACATCATGGATTTTTAAAGCTCGTCAATAAAATGAAATTAAATTTGTGTTCATTAATTGATATATAAATTCTCACCAAACATTTTTAAATTGCTGATTGAGCAATCTTGTTCCACCACATACATCTGTCAAGGTTAACATGGTTATTGCAGTGATTAAAGAATTCAGTAGCTTATCAAAGTGCTTGGTTCATTGTAGTTGATATTTATTCTTTTAAGATTTTTACAATAATTTTTGAGATTATATTTTCTATGGAGGACTAAATTAGCATCAACATAAATTAAATCCCGCAAAGGAAATAAAAGGAAAAAAAAATTACTAGAATAGTAACAGAGTGAAATAAAACTAGAAAGTGATCCTTTTTCTTGGTGATAGATTTTTTTCTCTATACCACTGCTCAAGCTTCTAATCAGTTTTAGTATATGAGCTGCCGAAGCACTCAAGTTTCTGATCAGAATGAAATTGATTAATAATATGAAACAATAATAATAGGCAGAGTTGACTGGATTACATGCAAGGAAAAAGTATGTTTTTCCTTGTTCACTACCTCTGTTAGCAAAGGCTAAAAATCTAATTTAAATCAGGCAGTCATAAAGAACATTTTCATTTTCCACGTCAGTGGCAGTGAGTACAAAAATCACTTGAAGAAACTTGTATCCTGAAGTCTCACCTGGTTTACAGACTTATAGATCTCTTCTTGGTTACTGCAGTCTACTGCAAAAGCATACGCAGTGGCTCCTAGTTTTCTACATTTTGCTGCAGTTTCCTCAACACCGTGCTGTCATTGGGAAAAAAAATTCACAATGATGTAGGTCAGTCAGAGGGCAAGAGTGAGAGAGAAAGCATTGGTGAATAAAGATTTTTAAGGATTAAAATTCAACTCCAAAATGTCCCCCTTATTTGTAAGAAAATTTCATAAGAGACACTGCTGGCATAATTTGCACAGGTTATACATGGCTTTTCTGTGAGGGAATCAATGCTCATTAGTTATGTGTTTTTACCTTGGTTTGCTACAGTCTTAGCCATTCTTCACAAAGCAAAAAAAAAAAATATTCCATTTCTCCAGTTTTTCATCTTAGGTTAGTTCTCCAGGAGGCAGTTTCGTAAAAGCAGGCTACTCTCAGAGCCTGAAGAACATGCTTGAAATATGTTGCTCAATGTGGTGTCATGAAAGGAGATGTTTGAGTGTTTGAGAATGGAGAAGAAAAGAAAACTCAACAATTCATTTAACATTTATTTGTTGAGCACCAACTACGTAATAGGCAGGTAAGTACCAAGTAGCAATTTTAAACTAGTGGTAATCTTAAACTATAGTATACATATCTCTGCCTATCATACTTTTATTGATGGTTCTGATTTAACCTTCTAAAAAAGAAAGAGAAAGAAGAATCCTTATTAGAGGAAGACTTTCATAGGGAGACAGTGCTACTACTCTTGAGGATATAATATTATATTCTTCAAGTGTTCTGGTGTGAAAATGGGCAAGGGCCACTGGATAGATTTCTCACTTAGTAATAACTTCGCATATAAATCCAGGACATGGAGATAGCAATTTATTTTCACTCTAAATTCGAAGATCTCTTTCCTAAGATGAAATTGCCCTGATGTTTCTTGACCTGGCATTTCTTGAAAATTAGAATTTTTTTAAAGTTTTGACATCTGTTGACTTTTATAGAGAAGATTATAGGGTTTTAAAAATCATACTTTTTCCTCTCACAATTTGTAAACTCTTCTCTGTGATGAAGGGGCAAGGACACATGAAAAGCCCTTTTCGCATGTTGAGATGTTAGTGGTATAGCTGTTATTCAGGGCGGTTGCCAAATGTGTGGCAGGTGATCTTCATTAGCCAGTGTTGCCTCCCTAGGTTCTTTGAATTTCACTAGAGTGGACTATACCCTGGAGCAACAGCTGAAATCCCAAAGAAAAGAAAAGAATAGAAATTAGGAAGCTTAGTCACAGAGCCAATGTCCCTTCATAGACCCCTGGGGGCTTACAGAAGAGTAAAGAGGGAGGACAGGAGTGTTGTTTACCAGTCTAGGCTTCAGCTGATAACTTACTCATTTCCAGATTACAAGAACCATTAGACACTCTTTTGTCTCTAAATTCAAGGCCACCAGAGAGCATTGTTAACCAGAGCTTTCATCAGATGCTTTTATTGAGCTAGAATAGAGCACTGCAAATTGTAATGCCTTGTCTTTTTGTAAGCAAATTGCTTGCTTTAGCGTCAACTCCAGTGTTCATTGTTTGCTCCACTTATCCCACTGTTCCTCAAGTAACGATTTAGAGGGGAAGAGAGCAAACTGCTAACATGGCTCTAAGGCAAAAGAAGCCAGCTGTAACACAAAGGCAGTTGGTAAAGGAGAGCTAAGTTACATTTACAGGTGAAGGGTGGATCATTTAATACTTTAAATGTTTAACCATAAAAGTCAAGGATTTGAAGAGACCTTGGGAGGTTAGGAGACCCATCCTTCAGACAGAATCTTATTTAAGTCATTTTTAATAGTAGTACTTTCTCATTTTGCTTTTCACTTGTCACTGGAAATTTTAAAATATACTTTAAAAATGTAATAAATACACAAAATACACATCTAGAAAGAGATCTAAAGGTTAGATTTCGTAAAGATTTTCATGAGTTTATACTGTTTCATATTTTTTGATAAATGCCGAGAACAGCAGAAAACAATTTTTCAATTTGTAAATCTTGTCCTCTTCTAGAAAGTTCATTGGAATCTCTTCATGAACCAAACCAATGACAAATCACTTCCATGTATATTAACTTAGTGTCTATTATATAAATGCTCATATCTGTTATATAAAAATGTATAACTTTTCTTTGTATAACATTCTTCACTATCTAGAAAGAACCGGAGAAGAACTAGTTTTCTAAGTTCAAGAGATACTTTTGAAGGCCTTAAGAAAATATGTGTCGCCCAGTAGCTCTAGCAGCGGGAGGAACGGCAGCTGCCAAGGAGCCCAGCGTTGCAGGTGTGTGGCGGCCCGCAGGCACCAGGCACGCTGCTCCCGCACCTCCACCCTCCCCGCCACCCCGCGCCCGCGATGACCAAGAGGAAAATCAGCTCCTCCGAGGGTGCCCCAAGAAGAGGCCCGCCAAGTGGTCAGCTAAACCTGCTTCTGCAAAAGTGGAAACGAAGCCATAAAAGACGAGGAAAGGATGAATCTGCAGACAAAAAAAGTGTAAACTAAAAGGAAAAGGGGAGCAAAGGGAAAAACAGGCGGAAGTGGCTAACCGAGAAACTAAAGAAGACTTACTGCAGAAAACGGGGAAACTCAAAACGAGGAGAGTCCAGCCTCTGAAGCAGCAGGATAGAAAGAAGCCAAGTCAGACTAATACCGCATACCACGTCTTATCAGTGGTTGCGTCCCGCTTCTTGAACAATCCAGAGAAACATTTTTATCAACTATTTTGTGAATGCAAAGGTTTTAGTAGCTCTAGAAACATTTTTTAAGAAGGGAATTCCATTTCATCCCATTTTTTAAGTGTAAATTTTTTTCTAAGAGGTGAAATCATTTGTTGTTGTTTTTTTTTTTTTTTTATACAACCAGAAAATAGTGGAATATTGAATATGGGAGGCTTTGATTGTCTTGGGTGTAACTTTCCCTAGATGGGGGTAGTTTTTACATCCTATAATATAAAGCATACTAAATGGTAATTTGGAGTCAGTCATGCATTAATATGTCTTGAACATTTTAAATTCTTTCTACTCCCATGTTTTTGTTAGAACTATTTTCTAAAGAAAACCACTCCTTGTTCTTGGCTTTCCCTGTCAAAATTTTGTGCACGCTGTAGCATCTTTGGTGGTGGTCATTCAGTTTTCCTAGTAACTTTGTTAATGTGCTGTGAAAGATTGAAATTTTGATTATGTAATGTATATGTTATTAAATTGTGAATTAGTAGGACCTTCGAATAACAATTTGAAGATACTGGTATTAAAATTAGCCTCCAAATTTTAAGCTGGAAAGTCACTGGAATAACTGTTTAGAAAAGAATCACAAATACACGACTTTTTAGCCTTTTGGTACATATGTTAAGAATAGTGTACACATTGAACAACTGTCTATTTATCCTCAAATCAACTAATAAAATCTCAACTACAAAAGAAAAAAAAAAAGGAAATAGGTGTCAACTATACATGGCAGCAAAGAACATGAGAAAGTGATAATGGCAATTAAAATCTCACTGTAATCTGATTCTCGAAACAGCCTTCACAATTTTTCTAATCTTAAATTCCTTTAAACACTTTTTCTGTGCATATGTTTGTGGCCTTACCAGAATTCACAAGTTCGGGGAAAATGATACAAAATTTCAGTTACTTCGGTTTTATTTTGAATAGTTAATATGGTGTTTACAAATAAGAGTACAAGAAAAGTATGAATGCCCTGAAGAAAGCCCGACTCAGTGCATATAGGTTTTATTTAACCAACTAATGTTTACTACAGCCAAGCATTGGCACTTAAAATATTTACTCAATGAATCCTCTTGCCCAGGGGTTGGCATTTTGTTTCTTTAAAAAGCCAAATAGTAAATATTTTAGTGTTGAGAGGAAGCACTTAGAGGTCTTGTCTCACGTTCTTCTTTTTTACTTTGTTTAGTTTTTGCTCTGATAACCCTTTAAAAATGTAAAAAAATATATTCTTTGCTCAAAAGTCAGACCATGGGCTAGGTTTGGCCCATTAGCTATAGTTTGCTAACTCATTCTTGCCCATCCCATGAGGTATTACCTTTTTTATAGAGATAAAAAGACGGAGGCCCAGAGAAATTCAGTGACTGCCCAAGTTAAACAGCTTGGAATTAGCCTGGCATCTGAGTCTGTGTTATCAACCTATTTGTCATGGCATAAAAATCACTGCTTAGGTCTTAATTATGTTCTTTTCATCAACCTGTCTTGATGCATCTATAGAATAAGATTCCAAGGAACTTAGTTATCGAAACTTTGAAAAAGAAAAATACAAAGCTAAGCAGATGTTAAGTCAAATAATTTTTTAAACATATGTCTTACTTTGTGACTTTAGAAGATGGCCAAATGAATTCATTACCTTATTAATATCCCACAGAACCAGTTTGTTCTTCTGTTTTGCAAATTCATAGGCAATCATTCTTCCTGTCCCATGCCCGGCTCCTGTAATGAGAACAATCTCTCCAGCTACAGATTTTTTCCTCTTTGGAATGAAAATCTTCACCAAGGACTCCAAGTAGGAATAAATGATGGTGGCAAGAAGCAGGAGGAGATCTAAGACAAGGTTCATGGTTCTGCTCTGTTTGCATCTCCTCTGGCTCAGTCCTTCTTTAGTCCCAGCAGAGAACCACCCTTTTGGACAGAATTCTGGGGAAGAGCTGTGCTCCAGGTATTGATTTAAATCAGATTTGCAGGCAGGCTATATATTCTAAGGGGCGTGTTACATCGAACTTTGGAAGTAGTGCCGGTTGCCACTAATAGCTTGGTACAGAGTCAAGGGAATGAATCCTAGGTAAACTGGTCTATGGAATTGCTTGTCTGAGAAGCAGTTTTGTACTGTGATTAACAAATAATTCTAGTTATTGCATCAGCTACTGGTATCTCTGTAAACTTTTTGTTTTTTTAATGAAGGAAAAGGAAAAAGTAGAGATATTGTTTTTAAGAAACTTAAAGTATGGGCCAACCAAGCTTAGTTTGATTAATTTATTCATGAACGCTCAGCAGCAATTTCAGTTAGCTCATCATTTTACATGAGATGCCCATTTCCCTGAAAACCTCTTTAGTTTAGGGGAGAATGTACGCTATATAAAGCACTGTTTCCTTGTGATAATTTGGGAAAGAGCATTAGACAATGAGCCAGAAGTCTCCACTTAAAGGTGGTGTTACAGAAATTCTGCCTATGACAGCAGCTACAGCCCAAGTGCAGCAGTGCTAGCTTGGAGAGCTTGCCTCCCAGATTTAGGACATGCCTAGCCAGACACAATATCATGTGAGCCAACTCTGCAGTAAATCACTTCATGTATGCCTCCTATTGGTCTGTTTTGCTGGCCAAACTCTGAAACACTTTCCTTGTTCTCAGTATCAAAGCACTAAGCCCAAGGCCCAACATATATTACAGAAATCTCAAAAGCTACTTAATTTAAATAGCTTTATTTTATATTTAGTAAAAAAGTTCAACAGCAGCCCCTTTAATTATTTTATCTTTGTAACCTACTATCTAGTTACAGCGCTTGGTGAATTTACGAATATTTAATAAATGTTTACTGAAAACCAAATAAATGAGAGAATTAATGAATAAATTATGATAAAAAAGGTTGTGTTATTTCCAATATCCCAAAGCAGACACTATCCAAGTGCCCATCAATAGATGAATGGATAAACAAAATGCATTATATACATACAATGCAATAAGTGTCCATCAATAGATGAATGGATAAACAAAATGCGTTATATACATACAATGCAAGATTATTCATCCCTAAAAAAGGAATGCAATTCTAGTACATGCTACAACATGGATGAACCTTGAAAATGTTATGCTAAGTGAAATAAGCCAGAGACAAAAGGACAAGTATTGTATGATTCCACTAATACGAGGTATCTAGAATAGTCAAATACACAGAGATAGAAAGTAGAATGGTGGTTACCAGGGATGGGTTGGTGGGGGAGGAGAAGCAGGAGTTGCTTTTTAAGAAGTCTGGAGTTTCAATTTGGGATGATGAAAAAGTTAAGGAAATGGATGTTAGTGAGAATTGCACAGCAATGTGATTTTACTTAATGACAATGAATTGTACATTTAAAAAATGGTTAAAATAGTAGACTTTATGTTATGTATATTTTACTACAATAAAAAAAGTGGTGTGACAGTAATAATAGTAATAGTTTAAATTTATGAAGCACTTACCATATGCATAGAGTGATTTAAAGCCTTTACATATCAACTACTTAATCCTCACAAGGAATATTTGAGGGAGATATTATTAAAATTTGCATTGTACAGATGAAGAAACTGATGTATACGAAGTTAAGTAACTTGTCAAAAGTCACATCGTTGGTAAGAGGTAAAATAAGGATTCCAACTCGGGAAGTCTGATTGCAGAGCCCAACTCTTAACTTAAACCAGCTATGTTAAAACCAGACAACTGAGTCGTTCACAACCAGGGGTACTTTTGCCCCACAGGGGACATTTTATCATGTCTAGAGACATTTTTGGTTGTCACAACTCAGGCATGCTACTGGCATCTAGTGGGTAAAGAACAGGGATGCTGCTGAAAGACTTATCCAGCCCCAAATGTCAGTAGTACCGAGGTTGACACACCCTGACAAAGGTTATACCATATTGCATTGGAGGGAGTATAATTGCTTCTTTAAGTTTTAACTATGTGTGTATTTATAAAAAAAAAAAAAAAAGAGTACTCGACTATATCATTCGGCACGCAGGTTTGCAGTGAAGTTTAAATGGAGGCAGTGAAATATGAACATATGTGGTTTAATTATTTATTTATTTGGTATTCGATATCTATCTATCTATCTATCTATCTATCTATCTATCTATCTATCTATCTATTTATTGTGACATTGGTTAACGAAATCCAATAAATTTCAGGTATACAATTTAACAGTAAGGCATATCTATACTGCATTGTGTGTTCGGCTCCTATAGTTAGATTTCTTCTATCACCACATATTTGACCCCTTTTAGCCCATCTACATCAGCCCCCAACCCCTACCCTCTGGTAACCACTAGTCTATAGTCCATGTCCACGAGTCTCTGTCCTGTTCCTTTGTTGCTTTTAGGTTTATATCCCACATATAAGTGATATCATGTGATTTTCAACTTTTTCTGTCTAGCTTATTAATCACTTAGCATGATTATCACTAGCTTATTAATCACTTAGCATGATTATCTCGAAGTCCATCCATGTCGCAAATGGCAATATTTCATCTCTTCTTATGGCTGAGTAATAGTCCATTGTATATATGTACCACAGCTTCTTTATCCAATCATCTGTTGTGGGGCACTTTGGTTGCTTCCATGTCCTAGTCAAAGTGAATAATGCTGCTGTGAACATCATTGTACAAATATCTTTATGGATATGATTTTTTAAATCTTTGGGATAAATATCCAGTAGAGGGATTGCTGGATTATATAGTAGATCAATTCTTAGTTTTTTGAGGAAACTTCATACTGTTTTCCATAGTGGCTGTATCAATTTGCAGTCCCACCAGTAGTGTATGAGGGTTACTTTTTCTCCACATCTTCTCCAACATTTGTTATTACTTGTCCTGTTGATAACAGCTATTCTAATAGGTGTGAGATGTATCTTATTGTGATTTTTCCCTAATAGCTAGTGATATTGAGCATCTTTTCACATGTTTGTTGGCTATTTATATATCTTCTTGGGAGAAGTGTCTGTTCAGGTCCTCTGCCCATTTTTTGACTGGATTGTTTGTTTTTTCATTGTTATTGAGTTGTATGAGTTCTTTGTTTATTTTGGATATTAGGCCCTTGTCAGAAGTGTTGCTTGCAAATATACTTTCCCATTCAGATGGTTGTCTCTTTACCTTGTTGACAGTTTCTTTTGCTGTGCAGAAGCTTTTTATTTATTTTATTTTACTTTTTAGGCCTACAGCACCCGATATTCCCAGGTGGTCTCCCATCCAAGTACTAACCAGGCCCGACCCTGCTTAGCTTCTGAGATCAGATGGGATCGGGTGCGTTCAGGCTGGCATGGCCATAGATGCAGAAGCTTTTTAGTTTGATATAGTCTCATTCATTTATTTTTGCTTTTACTTCCTTTGCCTTTGAGGTCAAATTCATAAAATCTTTAAGTCCAAGGTCCTTGAGTTTAGTTTCTATGTTTTCTTCTATGTGTATTATTGTTTTAGGTCTTATTTCAGGTCCTTAATCCATTTGAGATAATTTTGGTCTGTGGTGATAGACAACAATCTAGTTTCATTCTTTTGCAGGTGGCTTTCCAGTTTTCCCAGAACAATTTATTAAAGAGGCTTTTCTTTCTCTACTGTATGTTTTCAGCTTTTTGGTCAAAAATTGTCATTATTTGCTCACATAAACACAGTTTTATTTCTGGACTAACAATTCTGATCCACTAGTCTGTATGTCTGTTTTTCTGCCAATGCCATGCCATTTTGTATTGTTGCTTTGTAGTATAATTCGAAGTCGGGCAGAGTGATACCTCCACTCTTTTTCTCAGGATGGTTTTGATATGTTGTACTATAGTTGTCATTCGTTTCTATGTATCTCTTGATCTCTCTTTTTATTTTTTCTCTGACCCAGTCATTCTACAGTAGCATGTTGTTTAATCTCCATGTAGTTGTGGTTCTTCCTGATTTCTTTCTGCAGTTGATCTCTAGTTTCAAAACATTATGATCAGAAAATATGGTGGTATGATTTCAACTCTCTTATATTTGTTGAGGTTACCTCTGTGTCCCAGTATGTGGTTGATTCCTGAGAATGTTCCATGTGTACTAGAGAAGAATCTATAAGTAGCTGTTTTGGGATGAAAGGCTCAGTAAATGCCAATTATGTCCAGTTGTTCTAATGTGTCATTTAAAGATGTTATTTTTTTAATCAATTTTCTGTTTGGGTGATCTGTCTATATCTGACGGTGGGGTAGTTAGGTCCCCTACTACAATAGTCTTTTGGTCTGTTTCTCTTTTTAGTTATGTTAGCAATTGCTTTATATACTTCGGGGCTCCTTGATTGGGAGCATAGATATTAATAAGTGTTATGTCTTCTTGGTGCGTGATTCCCTTTATCATTATGAAGTGTCCCTCAGTATCTTTTTTAAAAAAAATTATTTAAATTATTTTTAAGTATACAGTATGTTGGTTAGAGATTTATAATGTTCATAAAAAACAATCCCCCTAATTGCTCTCTTCCTCCCCTGGCCCACCACTTAGCCATCATATTAATGCTAACTGCATTCCTTCTGCCACACTCCCCGTGCCCAACTATCAACTCCTAATTTGTACTTCTTTAACACTTTACCCCATTCCCCTAGCCTCCCAAACCCCTAACCCTCTGTCTGTCACCGAATTGTTCACTATATTTGTGAGTCTGTTTTTGATTAGTTTGTTCCTTTTGTTCCTTAGATTCCACATATAAGTGAAATCATATGGTATCTATCTTTCTCTGTCTGACTTATTTCACTCAGCATAATAACCTCTAGGTCCACTAATGTCATTGTAAATGGTAGGATTTCATTTTTTTTTTTATTGTATATATGAACCATAATTTCTTTATCCAATCATCTGTTGATGGGCATTTAGGTTGCTTCCATATCTTGGCTATTGTAAATTGTGCTGCCATGAATATTGGAGTGCATAGATCTTTACGAATTATTGTCTTGGT